CAATAAGTAAGGAAGTGTCAAGTTCAATCAAAAGTAGCAGTAACGGACGCTCCGTAGTACGAAGTAGTTGCAAAGCTTTTTGCATTTATTATAAGAAAGTTCAGGATCCGATTTGCGTATTTTATTTAATACTAGCTGGTCCCGTGCGGCTTCATCCGCATGAAATTATGAAAATTTTATTTTATTGTTTACATTTGTCAAATTATCAATTAAAAATGTCAAAATGACTTGACTTGATGACAACCTTGATGTTGGCAGCAACTTATGGTCTTTTTCTCACATTAAGGTTTTTATCCAAAATATTTACCACATAAGTTTAATGGCGTGAAAATGTATAGCCTAAAGCGTGACATCAGTGTAGGGATTTTTTACAAAAAAAACATTCAAAAATATGCTGTAATTGCTGACATCTTAGACAACAAAGAAGTGTGTGTTTGCGCTTTATTTTATTTAATATGTCTTGTTAATAGTTACAAAGACGGCATATAATAATGCACTTAATTAAATTTGTTTATAAGAAATTTAAGGGACATCAATAAATTAATCTAGAGTCGAGTGGATTTAATTCACGTAATCAATCGAAAACTAGTCCATATTAAAGTACAGTCGTCAATTTATGTTAGCAAAAAATTAAGTTTCAATTTTTCGAATTCATCTTCACTTCTTTATCAAGAAAATTATGTCTTACTCCAAATTTAGCAGCGCAACTTATTTATTTAACAATATTTAAACAAACCTGTCTCCATCCAAAAATATAAGGCGACCTCGACAATTAAGTCGCTCCAAATATTTAATGAACAGTGCTAGTTCCGCAGCGGAAATGACACTTAATCGGCTTAACTTCGCCTCAAAACTTCCGCAAGCCGTCCCCCCGCGAGCCCGTGCCCCTCGCGGCTCGGATCCCTCCCCTCGCCACGACAGCCGTGGAAGATACGCTGCATCAAAGAACTTGGAGAATGTGCAATTATGAGATTGTTTTAATTTAGAAACAACGTTGTTTGAAGAATTTCCTTACTTCGAGTGAGCTCTGCAATCCGAACCAAAATTCTTGGTTTCATTCTACATAGTTTCTGTGTTATTACTTTAGTTGCCGTTGCGATTCAAAGGAAATCGCTTTATAAAAGTATGAAGGTAGAGAAAATTTAGGAGCAAACTTCTAACGGAATTCTTTAAAGTAATCCGAAAATTGTAAGTACAAGAATGTATTCTTAACTTATTTCTCGAGTTATTATTTCAAGTTGTACCTGGAAGTATAGTCTCCATACAATGTTTATCCTTTGAATAACATTGAATAGAAAACTCGAGAATATTAGATCTTGTATATGTACATTCGTACCTTATATGGATGTAAAAAAAAATGAAGTGTAAGGATATTTGTTCATTGTATCGCAAAATAATTGTGTAATTTACTCTTTGTATTTAGAAAGTTGTAGTCAAGTTGTAATTTGTAGAACAAGCGAAGAAGTAATAAAAGAAAAATAGCTTCAAGTGTACTTAACGGAGTTTAACAATAATAGAGGACAACGTCTAAGTCAGTTGTCCGAGCAAAGTTCGGACGAACATTTAACTAGACGCAAACAAATCTCCGAGTGTGACTCTCGTAGCCGCAACTGCATTCGAAATCCCTCCCGCCTTCTTCAAACTTTGTGTAAGGACGACAAAATATAAAACTACAAACAAATCAAAACGGACTTTTGCTTCTAAGTAATATAAAAAGTTACCAAGAACAGTCTTGAAAACGCTATGTGATTTTTTAACCCGCTTCTTTATTTATCTTTTTGTACCTTTTCAGTTTTTGAGGTACTATAACCCAGAACCTTGCTCAAATAGTCTCTTTTAAGTTATTGTATTACCAATTCCTATGTAGACATAAACGATGTCCGAAAAAATTCAAATTGATCCGAAAAAATAGCTCATTCGTCTGAACCACGATCTGCTTTGCAACTGCAAAATAGATTATTGAATGTATTGCATATGTAAGAATATTTATGGACTCCTTGACTTCAGGACATATCTATGTCTTATGAAATATTCACTTATTTACGTGTCATATAGCCCTACTAGTACTACTACTAAAATACCACTCTCAGTCAATTGACTCCCGACCCATCGATCAGATCATAAACATATCTTGTGAACAGCTTACCTGCACTGAACAGATGTTCAGTAGACACCTTTAGGAACAATAACTAATGTGCAATAAATACACAAATAACTCACTGTTCACTTAGAATTTGTATCTACATTATACTGCATGTAAATTGAAAATTTGTTTACTTTCTTATCTGTTACCAAGGCTGTTGTCTCTACACTTATTGGAACCGGCGGCGCCAAATAGCTTGTATTTATTTACGCTCGCCGCCTGCTCATAGCGGAACTTCCGAGTGCCTTCGATTTCAAATGTTTTGTTTAACTAGTTCAAACCTAAGTTATGCAACTACTTATAGTTCATTCAGATAATTCTGTTAGACATATAAGTGCACTACAGATATAAACTAGTATTGAATTTTAGTCACATAAAAAGGTTATTATTTATACTTCTACTTAAAGATATTTCAAGTGGTTTAGTCCAAAATGAATCTTAAACTCGTAACTATATGCAAAAGAACAGGATAGAACATCATAACAAGTTTGTCGGTTTGTCGCAATTAGAATTCATTTGTTTCTTGATAGAAAGAAATCACACCATAAAATGAAATATTTCTATATTCCTTTATCTTTATTCTTTAAACAGTTTTATCGAAGTTAAATCTGAAGCGGCCACCAATAAACCACCTTATAAACTGTAATAAATTTCGATAAGAATATCTAAAGGAGGGGAAAATGCTCTTTGTATTTCGTAATACAAGCTACCAAACAATAGCCTACTGATAAGTATAAGCCCCTTGCTATTATTTTAAAAAAATATTCATAATTTCTTTTCTATATTTTATGTTAGACTGGTAATCAACTGAACTCATGAAAGTGTCAACAAGTCAGTCAAAAACAATCTGTATTTTTCAAGCGTCTAAAAATGTATGGCGTTGACTAACAAAGGATTATAATATACAGAATTCAGGTTGAAGCAACGACTAGCATTTCCAAGCAACGAACTATCCATTAATGCAGATTAGTGATTACAATACACACATTTTAAAAATCATCAAAAGCACCCACTTTACTTACTCACTTATTTTATCAGGAAATAAGAAGGTCTTCTAAGCTACGTATTCAAACCATCAATCTTGTTACTCGCGTCCTGTACGTCCCATTGTAAATGCATTCGCATGTCTCCGATTCGCTTGTACCTAAATAATTCAATAGTACATGCGATGGCCATTCTATGAGCAAATAGATAGCCCTCACTTCCGACACATGTCTCCTCCGCAGACACAAGGAACTGGTCACGTAGAATATTGACGCCCCCAGCTATCCACTCGAACACTACAATACGTATTTTAACAACGAAATTCAATATTTTTGTAACGTTAAAATTTTCAAAATACACCGATGTGCTGTTAAAACTAGCAAGGAAAATCTTATTTCGTTTAACACTATCTTTATTAAATTAATAGCTTTTGCTCGCGACTCCACCCGCGTGGAATTAAAAAAAAAAACAAAAGTAAGCCTTTGTTTTTATCCAGACTATACCATTTATAACATTTATGCCAAATTTCATCCAGATCCGTTCACTCTTGTAGGCAACAAACTCTAACAAACATCCATCCATCTAAACATTCGTATTCATAATATTAGTATGAGGTATGATTACGAACTTAATATTTTGTCAATGACAAATCTATTTTTAACAATTCACTCTTTTTGTATTTTAATTAACACAATGCAGACTGTTTGATTTAGTACTGATATATTTATTTGCTTGTAGCACTACAAAAGTTTTCGTTTAGTTTAATATGACACAATATTAATGTGGTTATTGCCTTTAAGCCGGTGTAATGGCGGAGCGCGGGCATTATTCTGTAATGGAATAACAATAAATTGGTAAATCAGCGATACGATAGTAACACGATCGAGCTCATTCCGATTTAAATATAAAGTACTCATGTTAAATACTCAATTTACGTAATTGCACTGATAACATCGATTAATATAGCCGTTTTTCGTATTATTATATTCTGATTATATTCCTCTTCAGTTAATTGGCACAGCGCGAGATCACAGCGTTTATTTGAACTCGTATTTGCACTTTTTTAACTACGATATTCATGCAGCACAAAAATGTAAACAAAAATGAGAGCGTTTATTACTTTGCTTGCCCCTTCGCTCATTTATAACATTAGCACTTTTACAAACAGATGAAAATTCGAGACCAATTTGCTTAAAAAATGATTCTATGCACGTAACAGAATAACATAAATCAATAAACATGATTTTGGTTACTTTTGTTATTTTTTTTAACTATTTTGATATATTCTGCATTCTTAAAAGTTTTTCGTTTGATTTATAGCAAAATCAATAACATTTATTTTTATTTAAGATAATAGAATAAACTTTGTAATTTTATAATTTAATATTTATTTAATATTTAATATAATTTTATATTTAATATCATAAAATTATAAATATTAATTTTATAATTTTATGATGCAGGAATTCTACTTGTTATGTTATAATTTGACAGTAATTAGATATCAGAAATAAAAGTGTATTATCTCCTCTAAACGACGGCCATATTAGTGGTGGTGGAGGAAGATTGTTGATAGATGTAAAAATAGCATTATTTGTAAAATTATTTTGCGAAAATTCGAAGAAAGTATTCGAACGAAAAAAGAACTTATTTTGTTAAAAGCATAATCCAGCTTTGATTCCCACACATTGAGTAAGAGGTAAAACTAAGTACCTTTTGTTTTTAGATCAATAACAGATTTAGAAAAGATTAAATTAAGGTGATGTTATTTCTAATTCACGTTATTATCATTACCTTTCCTTTCATATAACTCTTTTTACCTACAGGAAATATCCCACAGAGTAGAATTATATTAACATCTGATGTTATTCAGCCCTAGGTCTGGAGCCGGACTTCTTGTATCCATTGGAGAACGTGACAATCGCGCAGGGGAGAGACGCGATGTTCACCTGCGTAGTCAATAACCTGGGCGGTTACAGGGTGAGTGGCGACTCCGCCACTGCCAGGGTGTGTATCAAACTGACTCAATACAGCTAGCCGACTGAATAGTGACGCACCGTCAGCACTGGAATGAGATCTGGTAATGTGCACGTTACATGGACTATTGGTTCTTGAAAAATAAATTGAATTAGTGTTGGCTAAACAGTTGACATAAGAGACATGTCTAAACTCCAGTAATTTATTGTCTTTTTTATTATATATTCGACAAGACTGATACCAAAGATAGATAAATAACGTTATTAAACTAAACAAGAGAATGCAGGAAGTAAAATTAAGTTTAAATAATAATTTAGAAAGCTTGAATATTTTAATATAAAAAGTCAACAAAGCTAATCTTGATAAAATATTGGAATAAATTGTCAAAATTTTTACATCACAATTTCCAATAGCCAAAAATGAAAAATTTAAATAAATTGTGGCGATGAAAATTGCCAAGTAAACGTCACATATCAGATCTCAGCCAATAGAACTTTGCACAAACTTCCACACTCCCTGCACATTCTTTAGCACACAATCTGTGTACTTCTTGAGCACTCTTCTACTCACACCTTCTAGAAACTATCTCTATCTAGAATAGAGTGCAACACGATAATTAAATTGCACAATAACCTGCAAGTTTGTACTAAATAGACAGTAGATATAGAATACTGCAAGACTTGCACACAACCACAAATGCACATAGATTTTAAGTTATATTTAAATAGTTAATAACAAATATTTTAGCAAACACTTTTGCTAACGTTCCACCCTTTTTTGCTTAAATGCACAAGACACTAATTCACATAACTTTAAAGCATGTTACAATTGACATAAACATTTTATTTAAAACATTACAAAACAATTTGTTTATTATCAACTTACTTAAACTTTCACCTATTCATTATACGCCATTCTAAAGCAAAAATAAACATGCAAATCCTCTACGACAAGCCAATTTAATTTAGGCAAGTATATGTTGCAAAACAGTCACTTTACGAAATTAAAATAAATCCTCTCGGTCCCCGTTCAATCATTTCGAGAGGCATTACTCTCAAACCGTCCCAACAGTTAATCTATAGCCTTCCATGATTGAAACATTCGATAATTTGTCCTATACGTTTTAACGAACATATTTGAACGTTAATAACAGCGTCAAACTGTGTTCAATTTAATTAAAATTATTGTTATAATGGCTGTTAACTAAATAGCCTCTATAATTAAGCAATATTGGCCACTTCATTCCATCACGCCTTGTCTCGATCGCATCTGCCGATAGGTATGTGTTTGCTCTTCAATATTGCTCATAGTAAGCAATTACCCACTTCACTGTAACGTATATTCAATTCCCTTTAGGCTAACTTGAAATTTACGGAAATATTCTACATACACATAGCCTAGCTCACAAATAATGTGATACCTATTTATTTAAATATAATATCAAATTTGTGCAATATTATAATTTTTTTATTTATGTAACATATCAAATGACACAAATTAACTGAAGCTAACAAAACTTCGATATGCACCGCTGGTATGGATGAGTTGAAAATTGGTAAATATCTCACATATTGTGTTTATTGTATTAATATTTAAGTTTCTGTACTATAAATTGCGATGGAATTTATAATTAGAATTACATTTGGCATTTGAAAAATGTCAAAAATGTTTTTACAAGCATTGCGAAAAAGCAAAATATTTATGACTGGAATTGCACCGCAATTTACCATAGCAACCCTTTAAATTATAATTTTATAAACGAACGTAAACAATAAACAAAAGCCCACAAGGCAAAATTATAATACAAAGGGTTGTAAAGGCTATAAAACGAAAGTATTATTGTTTGTTTATCACAGTACGTAATACTTTCATTTTCAGCCTTCACATAATATTCGTATACTGTAGCGATACTACACTATAGGCACTTAAAGTATCAGAATATAGTATTTATGCACAAGCACTGTTACTAAAAGAACGTGTTGTGTAGACCTCTATCTTGATATAGCATTTTGCCCTTTGCACTGATTCTTGCACATTAGGTATTTCCATGCACATAGAAATAGGAATTAAAAACATCTGTTTAAGTTAAATCTAATTATTCTATTTGAGGTGTTTGTTTGCAATGACATTGTAAATTATTCATACATACTGCTCCGAATACCCAACGAACCGTGTTGGAATTCCTGAAACGTCATATTTTGTGGACATTTGTTCGTTTTTTGTTACGCGCTATGCAGGAAATTAGCTTCTATTGCAATGTCGACGCTTTCGGTAAGCGGGCGGAACGAGGGCACCCACAGCCCGCGCCCGCTCACAGCGACGGCGACCAGACCAAAATGTAATTAAAAATTCCGAGGGCATTTTGCGAGGCGCTCGCAACAAGATAGTGTTACTCGACGATCTCACCGCCTCTTGGGAAGTATTCGCTTGTAATTAGATTTGTCCCATCTAAAAGTCTTCATTAATTATACTCTTTATAACTGCTTAGTTCTCGCCTTGTGGGATCATTGGGAGAATACTCGTACATTTCATTTGGTTGCACTATGTAAATGAAATGTGTTCGGTTGTGGTCTGAGACAGGTTGCGTGGATCAAAGCGGACACAAAGGCGATTCTGGCGATACACGAGCACGTTATCACAAACAATGCGAGGCTGAGCGTGACTCACAACGACTACAACACGTGGACTCTCAACATAAGAGGCGTGAAGAGAGAGGACAGGGGACAATACATGTGCCAAGTAAACACAGATCCGATGAAAATGCAGGTATTAATGAAATGTCATACTCAAACGTACTTATTATTTAATTGGTATTTTAATATATTTGTAATTGCATTGGCATTATTGACTTTATGAAAATTATAGAGTCATACAATCATTATACTATTTAACCAATTATTGTCATATTTTTATTTGTTGACTTATGAAATGTTGTTAAACTTTTAGACAGCATTTTTGGAGGTGGTAATACCGCCAGATATAATATATGAGGAGACATCTGGAGACATGATGGTACCGGAAGGTGGTTCCGCGAAACTGGTGTGCAAGGCGCGCGGCTACCCCCCGCCGAAGATCCTGTGGCGTAGGGAAGACGGCGGTGACATTATCTCGAGGAGCGGCCCACAAGGAAAAACAAAAGGTGCGAATAAATTATTTATAATTGAATTTTGCCTTACGACGAAAATTTTAATCTTCTTTCACCAAACAATTACTGATTCAAACATTAAAAAGGATTACGTTATGACATTGATTTATGAGAAGAAAATATTTAAGCACATATACAATTTCGCTGTATAATGAATAATTGTAAGTTCTTTTTGTTGTCGTAAAACATTTTTAAAATTACTTTTAATGAGCTCTGAACATTAGGTACATATTTTAATTGAACAAAGAAACAACAACTTTAATAATTAACCACGAAATTATTTCTACAGAAACATATCATAGTCCTACTTAATAATGAAAATACTTTAAATTCAATTAACTTTTCTATAAATAATAAATGAACAGTAATGGATTCAGCGAATAAAGTTTATAAAATATACGTTCAAAATACACTGAATTTTATGTTACATTGGAAGTTATTATATATTTTAAATCTACGGGATCACAGGAATAGAAACCATTAATACCTTTTAAGGTCGTGAGGTCCTAGATGGGACAATATAAAAGCTTATAGCGGAACAAATAAAATAGTCCAATATAAAAAAAACAATTATTGATATAACTATTTGGTTACATACGATTTATTAATTTCTAACCAATCTTAATAAATATACTAATATTATAAAACTTAGGTCTGATTTTATAGATTTTTTTCACTATTAGAAAGGTAAATTATCTGTGAGTAAAATAGGCTATTTTTTTTATGATTTTTTTTTTAATGTCACGTGGACGGAGTTGCGGGCAAAAACTAGAAAAAATAAAGCCGTTCTTACCGGTTAATTTACAATTCAGTGCGCAAAAAATACATTTAAAGCCTTTAAAATTGAACGTCAAGTAAATCACAGCTTAAAATATTCACTATTGAATCTTAGCAGTAAATCAGAGCATAGCACCTCAAGGAGCTCCTATTACCATTCAGACCGCCCTTTCTAATCCTTCGGGATTACACTCTGTAGACAGTCCGGGAATAATTACTTATCTGCTCATCTATGCTGGCCAAATAAATGGAACAAAGAAGGACGGAACCCCGCCAATGGAACCATCAATCGAGGAAGTCTCTATTACATTCGTCATTTCCATTTTATCTATTTTAATGAAAGCCACAGTAATTAATATTGAGTTGGGTTATTGGAATTAAGATATTTCATATCCTCGTTTTATAAGTCTATGACTAAATCTTGCGCAATCAACGTATGCAGTTAATTAACTACTGATAGATTTTACAATATATATTTCTTCTTCGTCGCTTAAGTCTTTACAGACTCGTCGTTGTTATCACGTGTCAGGTATCAGTGACCCGCTTCACAATACGACGCCACTCCTCCTTGTACGCTGCTTTTACAAGATAAAGTATCAATCAAGAAATCTATTATCGTTACTTTTAATACAAAGTTTTACATCTGTAGTTCCGCTGGTGTTGCGGATGTCAATGGGCGTCGTTGTCCAACTCTGTTTCCGCCATTCGATTTCCTTCATTTCTTATGAAAAAAATATTGTTTAGGTTAGTTTTGCATTATGAAAGCGAGTTTTTCTACACGTTAGTAATTATATTGAGAAGTTACAAGTCGTTATATTGAGAATTCGTGTCGAATAGCAATTGGAAACAGCACTGACAGGTTGATTAATCGGCAGATCCTACTTAACCCCACCAGTGTTCAGACCTTCTCATGCCATCAGTCAATTCATTAAGCTAACAAACTACCACCGGTAATGACTTTCACAACGCTCAGAGCACTTCTATACAATCCGTTAAGATTAGAGACTAGTTATTCATTACCTGTCCTAGACTTGGCGCATTTACTCTGCTATAATTAGATACATTAATATTGTACCAATTGACCTGAATGAGAACCGAGTTCAAGACTAAATGTGTAGTCAGATCCATTTCTACATCACGGAAATACTTTTTGTTTTGTCGATGAATTGTTTAAGAAAATGACTTTTTTATAAGGAATCATGACTTTGAAATTAAAAATTGTCTGAAATTACAAATTTGTCTTGAGCCTAATCCTAGTTTTACGTCTGCAGGACTAGGATCACATGTCCATCAGTTACTTGAGGTATAGTTAGTTAGTCTACTGCGTCACCATTCTTGCTATTCTTTTATAGGTATATACTTAGTTCCTATCAAAATTGGCTTTATTTGCAAAATACATTTGTTACTTCGTATGCTCTTCATTATTATTTTAACATAATTTCTTGAAGTGCAATAAAAACTTGCATTTTTCCGTAATGTAAATCAAGCCAAACAATTTTAAATAACTGAACGTCAGTAACAATCATCAATTTGAGTAAAGAAGTGTAATTAAAGAAGCCGTTACAAGTTACCTTCATAAATCTGAAGAGGAAACAATATAGGCTATCCGTTACTTGAGGCAATGTTTCTTCACGGAATATTCCAATGAGGAAAGTTCGAGGGTTGGACAACGCGATGAATATAGTTTTTCAATGACAGCGCAGAGCTCCCTCGAATTCGTTACACCCATCTTATTGAGTTTCCTTTACATAAATTACTTTAAATGTTCAAGACTGTTAGCTCACGGAAGGGTACTCTTGTAAACGAAGGTATTAAATAATATTTCATGGAGAACTGCGAATGCTGTTCTGTACATTAATTTGTTTTTCTATTAACTTTAATAAATTTTAATTTTTAAAGTTCTTTATGTTTAGATAATTATTTGATTGGAACAATTGTTAGTACTTAATGTAAATATACTTTTAATTTCATTTATCTTACTTCGTACTAATATTATAAATGCAAAAGTTTAGATGGATAAATGGATGGATGTTTGTTAGAGTTTGTAGCTTAAATTGCTTTACGGATTTCGAAGAAATAATTTGGTATAGATGTAGAGGTTCCGATCAACGATTATTGAATTTCCTTTTTTCCTGAACAAACCTCTAGACTCTATGGTGCTTGAGTGTCACTTGACTTGTGACACATCGACAAGCCAAGTTTATTCAACATCCCAACCCGAAGACGGTTCTGAAATCCATGGAGAGCTGCGAGTTTTTTTTTTCTGTGAACTCTGGTTTCCAATACGTTTCAAAACTAATTTATTTATACACATTTTCCTCAAGATTGGACAATAAATACAAATGTAAAATTTCTGTGAAAAGCTTAATTAAAAAAAATCGTTCCGTTATACTAAAAACAGAAGTATTACTTACACATTTGATGTATTTTGACATGAAACGGAATTTAAATATGTTAGCAATTTAAATAGGAGTTACCTTTAAAAATATTACTATAAATATAGCAGCTCTACTGAATCTCTGTGCTGTCCTTGTTTGCTAACGAAGCGTCGTGCCGCGGTCGACCGAGAGCTCTACACTTTAAACCATTAAACTCTCTTCGGTTTCCTTGGAAAATATTGCTCTAGCTTTTTATCCTCTTGTTTGAATAATGGCTGTTAACGTACTTAGGTGCCATTTCAGGAAGGTGCCACGAAAACAACTCGACAAGGAACCATTAATGTTACTTGTTTATCGAAGCGCCATCTACTTTTGGCGTTACGGAGTGTTTCCAAACACTTCTCGGTGGAATGTAAAGCAAGCACTAGTATTGATAATAGAAAACACTCGTCAATCTTGAGCTTTGGCTTCTTAGATTCGAATCCTTGAGAAATAACTGTTCGAACTTAATTATACTCGAATAAAAACAAGTTCTAAGACATTTGTGTTTAGGCAAACTATCAATGGGAGTAGAAATAATTCAACTAATTGTACATCAAAGAAAAGTTGTAAGGATGGATTGGATTCTGAAACCTAATTTACAATTTACCTTAATTTGTTTTGTGTTTAGTGACGTCACTGGAAGGCGACGTGGTGAACCTGACTAAGGTGACGCGGTCAGAGATGGGCGCGTACCTGTGCATAGCGGCCAATGGAGTCCCACCTTCTGTTAGCAAACGGATAATGCTGCACGTACACTGTGAGTATACGTAGAATTTAACACAGCACCTTAAAAAAATTAATACAAATCAGACTACTCAAACTAATCACGTACAATTTCTAGTCCGTATCTTAAAAGGTGAAAAATTATATGCTTCTTACAACATTTCGCCACATTTCAATATCAAACAAAATGTGCGTTGTAACAGTTTAAGCAAACACGCTCCGAGATGAACACGGCGATTACAAATTCGAGGCATGAATCAATTTACCCATCGATAAAGTCTACTCACCTGCGTAAGGCAAAAAAGCCACGTAGCGAACTCACTTATCAGACGATCTTCGAGTCTAATTTATAACCGGGAGTTATTCAATGCTCGGTTAGCCGGGGCCGGGGCCAAAGCCGGCATCGCGCACGTAAGCAATTGGGAGATTTTCGTGTTATCACGTATCATCTTCGCGGCGTGCCTTGCATCAGAATGCGGCCGAGCTCGTTTGTAGTCGGCGCGCCGTGTTTACTGCCCTGTTGACTATCAGCAATCAGTATGGATGTAATGCTTTGCTTACACCCCCTAAATATACTGTACAACTTACTATGCCAGAATCTACTATGTTTTTTTTTTCTACAGGCTCGTTTTTTCATTCCTTTGTAACTTTAACTTATTGTATAATTTTAATATACATGAATGCAGATTCATTAGTAAAGAAATAATTGTGTGAGGTAAAAAAATAATGTTGCCATTACTTAAACTTATGAAAGTAATTTCAATTTAATTGACAAAGGTTTAATTGGTTGCTAATGTCGGTACAGATTTACATTAATTATTCACGTCTTAACTTTATTGATATTACTGATACATTCCAATAGATAGCAATGCAATTACCAACAACTTACAAAAGATTTATGGATTCAAATCTGATCGTGTAATGAAGTTAATTCCAATGTTAAATTATAATTTGCTTTAGCCAAATCCAACCAATCCATTTTCAAAGTTTAAATTTTTAAAATCCTTGTAGATAAACCCGTCACCTTTCCAATATCGGTTCTCGTTTCATTAAATTTTTAATTAACTGTTCTAGTTCGGAGAATTGGCTCCGTCTGTTTTGGTTTTAGCGCAATATGTATAAAAGTTTTTGCGAGCGCTGCCGCACGCCGCCCGCCGCCCGCCGTCCGGGCCTGGACGTGTTGTCCGCTACGTATTTGCATTCTGTTATTGGCAGTTCCGATGTAAACACTCGTCTGATTGGACACCACTATATCTGCATACATACTCTTGTGTTTAAGTTGGGACTTTTAAAATGCTCTTTGATGTTGCATTAAGTGAAAGTTGACTTTCATTTGGTAGTTGATGCAGTTTGTAGATTTTTATTGACATTTGCCATGTTTGCAAATCCGATAGATTTAAAAATACCAAACCGACATCATGAAAACAAAATAGTATTTTTAAAGGGAACAATTTTTAATGACATTCTGCATGACAATTTACTAGAAACATGCTTGTAATGTTGATTATTTCCCTAATTTGTCATGGATCATAGAACTTCAATTGTTTGGCGGCAGACGAAGCGGCCTCGGTCTTTACACCCCCCTCCCAACGTAAACAAACAGAAGAGAGAATGACACAGCCGGTGACAAGTGGGAGAAATTCACTTCATAGGAAACGCAATTTCAGCCGAACAAACAAACTACCGCCTGGAACCCTTCCACTCCGTTTAATTACTTCACAAAGAATGCGTCGCTCCCCGATGAGGAGACAAAATTAACGCTCTCAAATATTTAATTTAAATTTCCCTCCCTAGAGCGAACGATAACAGCCTATCGGCCGGCCTTGCGGACTCTTTCAGTTAACATAAAAACACTTTTTAGACGGCTCTGAGTTAAGCGATTCATTTGTATCTATAAGTTTTCAGTAACGCGATGAGTTTCTTTTACTCGATTCGACTCACTCCGGAGAGACGTCGGAGTGAATTTAAGAAAAGAAAAAAGGTGAATGAATCGCAATCAATTTGTAAAAGAAACCGCTACTTCCGTTTAATTACTTATCTTGCGGTGCAGTCTTTCTATTCTATAATTTGTCTAGTAGATTTTAACAGCTATTTATGTTACCTTCCCTCTTTTAAAATGATATTGTGTGATAATAAAAATATTTTTAACAGAGGATCAATTGCATCTCATTGTATGAATGGCCGGAGACCTATTTTAGTCCACATTCCCTTCTCACTCTTTTCTTTTAAGGAAATGATGGAAAGGGGATATAGATTGGGCAGATAAGGGGACACATAGCAAGTAGAAACATATCATACATTTATGTAATACTTCCATAAATTAATAACAAGAGATGTTAATTAGTCTACAGCCACTTAATATTTTACAAATAATTAATAATAACATTTAATAAATAATTTGCATTATACAATATCAACATGATCGAAATTCTGTACAAAATGCAATCTATAGTGGCGGCGTCTCTTCATTACTATTCAGATTAATATTGGTATAAGTTAAAAAATAAACTGGTCATTCGATGGAAATAAATAAATGCGGAGATTCGATGTGGTCCGATGCAGGTGACGTCGACAAAGCGCTAAGAAATCCGAAGTCTGTGGCGTGTGCGCCACTCGGTTAATCAAACTGTCACTTCAAGAATTCCGCGCGAAATCCTCCCCGGCAAATCTCGCCCCAACTTTTGATTGCTGCGAGGAATTCCTATCCACTTACACATTTACAAATTTTCTTAATCAACTATCGATTCCAATATACTCGATATTAAAATACGGTAAACTTTATGCTAACAAACTATTAATCCAACACAAAGCAATTTGATCCTTAATTTTAATTAGATGAACATCCCAGCGGTTCGTTATTCCGCTTTATTTAATAACCAAAGCTCTCGTTGAGCCTTCGAGTTATTAATTAGAACAAAAATTCCGATCGTTCAGATTTTGTTCGCTAAATTGGCCACTCAAACTCGTAAAAGCCGTCCAAAGGAACTTAACGACGGTCAAAGAGAATAACCGCAAATAAGCGGCGATCTAAGACCGACCGGGGAAACCCGCCTTCCCTTAATTCAGTGTAAACTGGCTTTAGAATGTTGGTAATAGTGCCTACACTTGTACAGCAATCTGTTTTTAAATTCCTTTCTCCCTTAATGTTCTAAATAACACTAAAGAGTATTTGTACTTTAAAATATTTAATTATTCGAATAACAAATGTAATTGACTTAATGCTTTACTGCAAATAGAATTTTACAAGGTTTTTAATAATGCTTTGAATCGTTTTAAAACAACGGTTGAAGAAAGGAATTTTCTTTCACGTAAAAATACTTTTGTACGAATTAAAGTATGGTTTGCAACGAACAAAGGTATTTTAAGAAACAATGGCACGAGAACATCCAGTATTAACTAGATTTTTCAGAAGTAATTTTTATAAACGTTTAAGTAGATGAATATTTATATACTTTTTATTATATCATGCATCTATCTTTCTTTGTTTTAAGATCTTCGAGTCAAAATAAAATATTAAATTTTTACAAAAAAAAAGCAGTTTCATCTATTGCCTATGGTAATATACTGTATCTATGACACTATAATTGACGTAAACCTCCTCAAACCCCCAAACGGGGAGCCCCATCTTTTTAGTGCTAAAAGATATCAACATTTATAAAAAAAAATTATAACTTAAATGTATTTTGAATCAGTAAACATTTGCTTGATATTAATGAAGAAAATAATTCAACAGTAGCTAATGTCAAATAGTGAAAACTAGTCGAAGTAAATAACTTATACAAACGCAAGTAACGCAGCCAGTCTCCGGATAATGTTCAAAGTAAACACCTGCCAGCGGCGGAGAGTTTTACCGGCGTGCCGCAGCGCACCCTGTGTACAAACAGACTACGAGCTAATGTAATAAATACCTTATCAAGCTGCATACCGTTTATATCCATATTTAATCTTACCACTGTAATTAAAAACAAAATATACGTGGCAAAAAACGTACAAAGACTAAACCGTATATCACTTATCTTGAGAAAAGCACTCATGTTAGTTTAGATTTAGTATAAAAATTATCTTATAAGAAAGTTTTTCTCCATTTTTCTCTGAGGAAAATATACGAAATGTGACTAAAACAAGCTATTTGAAATCGCTAGCTAAAATATAGATTTATCATTTTAAATTGTATTCGCATGCAAAACTCAATTCGATTGCAGTTCGATAAACAAGTTTTAATGTCAAGTACCATTTGCCAAAGCAAATAACATTTAAATGCACCCGCTAAAGGTGGCTTCAACTAGACGAAAATGTTAAAGGCATTTCACGGATCTGGCGGGGCGCATAACCACGCCGTCGGCAAATAAATGCAAATGGAAAATTGTGTAAACAAAAATGCGGCTGAAACTGCAGCGCCACCTACCGCGAGCTCTAATACTAAATAACTGTACGCTGGTGATTGAAACTACACCGCGAAACCTAGGATAGGTTAAATCAATACTTCGATTTTTATTGTTTTCGATGTTAGATATCCAATTAACTTGTTCTGAATAAAATCTTTCCGTCCAAATATTTCAAGTTCGTTGCAATTTTTAATTTAAGTTTAAATATTAAATTGGACCATGCAATTAGATTTTAAGGACAAACCATCTGGTCGTCTGTTGCAGTATTGAATCTATTTTTAAATCCTGTCTAATTGGTTTAATTATTTCAAATGATAATACAATTGTAGTGTAAGCTAACATACAGCTCCACTAATCGCTGAGTATATATTTTAAATTCGTGGTATTAAAAGTGTTAATAAATCTAATACTACAATATCGTCCGCAGTCCACCCGTTAGTGCAAGTGCCGAATCAGCTGGTGGGCGCGCCGACGGGTACCGACGTGACGCTGCAATGCCACGTCGAAGCCTCGCCCAAGGCCATCAACTATTGGACCCGGGAGAACGGTAAGTATTTATAACTTCTCGATATTAAACTACGTTTTCTACAGAAATAACTTTATAGGTTCATTTTAAACTTCGAGATTTTCCTCAGTTTAATATTGAACAGTTATATTTCTTATATTTTCAATTTGATAACCTGTCCTTTTTTGGTATATTTGGGTTTTCTTATTTTGCCAAAAAATATTTATTGTCTTTTTCCTTGTAAGTAGGACTGCGATCTCTAAAGTTTGAATTTTACATGTTTGCGTCTGTAACAAACTAAGAGCTATTCGTCAGTCACTATTCACCGAACTGTTATTTTTTTATTTCGTCTTATTTGTTTTTATTTCCACCACCAGCCATTGTTCAAATCTACATTTAATAAGAATTGATACCCTGTACCTGTTACAAATATTAATTATTTTATATAATAATGTCATGTCGCATTCGACAATATACGAAAGTAACAATAACAAAAATCATCTTGTTGATGTTAATAATTTAACTTGTTTAGGGGTTTCTTAATTTAATAAAAAATATCGTAAATCTTGTTAATAAACTCAGATTAAAATATGTAAATAATATTAAATAAAAAAGTTTGTAATATAAGAGAGTTTATTAGGCTTGTAACTTTACAGGCGCGTTTACGCAACTCAAATACGTTTCGCTCCATTAAAATCTGAATAACATAAAACAAAGTCTAATTACAATCTTTGATTACGACCTAAACAGAAAAGCGGAGCAGAAAGTCGAATATTTTACGGGAGACTCGTAACTCATAAAGCTTATTAAGTCCGAGGCACGAAACTTAAGAACGGAATAAGCAACTAATTTCATTATTCATAAAGCACATTGAAAGCGCTAAAGTAGTAATTATGCGGACCGTTACTCACTTTTCTACGATCCTTTGACGGGCCGGCGCCGCTGCCCGCTAACAAGTTACCTCGTTTTTATATGCGTTTTTAAACGAAACTAAGCGATCGCGTCACGCTCGTTTTCGTTACGTTACTTATTAGCGTTTTGATTACAAGGTGTTAAAGAATTAACAAGCTATTAATGTCATTGTTTTATCGCTTTTAATAACTGTATAGTTAAATTTAACATACATAAATAATGGGTATTTTTTTCATAATGTTGTTACTTTACTTTGTGAACGACTTTTGTATCTTGAAACGTGAAGCCATAGTTTCAAAAGCAATCAATGTGAAAAAATAATGTCTCATAAAAACTTTTAAATAAAGCTTTGGTACTACAATAAAACACATTTATGTCGTTGTTTTAAAAAATATGCAATATGATAAAAGCAAAAGTATTAATAAGTATTGTAAATATTGAAACAAAATGGCCGCTTTATTACTCTATTAATTATTTTTGTCACAAAACAACAGTATTTCATGAAAATGTTTTGATGGATATATGAAAGAACGAATTTTAAAATATTTTTACTACATTCGGAGTTTTTTTAACAGTATTGTATTAATGTTTTGTTTGAGGTCAAATGTTAAAAAATTGAAAGCCCATCTACGTACTGTCAAGTCTTTTGTTACTGGATGTTATTTGTTTTTAATATACAATTTCTCTAGTAGTTCTACTTAATATAAATTAAAATAATATTAACATTAGAGATGAAAGAAATTACTTTACACTTTTACAAAATCCAGTTTTAATAACCACTTTGACTTTTTTCATTCGTTTGAAGATTCAGCTTAAGATAAAGTCTAGTTATATCTCAAACGCTAGACACTTAGCATTCTTATTTTCTTTACAGACTGACGAGTATTATTAATTCATATTGTTCGTCTACGAGGAGCTAAAAGCTCGTTTATTTTTAATTGTACCTTTATCTATGTAAAGTAATTACTTCGTTCCTCCATGTAGCAAAGAAAAACATAATTTTGTGAAAGAGAAATATTGAGTGAAGTGTAAAAACACGTCCTAACTAATATAAATAAGGCTCTTAGCCTAACAAAACGTCGGAAGGGTCGGGAACTTCATTACTTCTCATTAAAACAGCGCCGTAAGGATAAAAGTTGGTACGCCGCGGCGACAGACGGACAAAGCCGCCCATCGGTTACTGATGGAACGAAGAGATGAGCTTTATATTTAATGAACAAAGAGTTCAAAATATTATAACGTTCATAATCACATACTTTGAGACGTCCAAACAGAGTTTACGAATTTGAAACAAATTCTTTTTATTCTGACGAGAATGGTACGGATATACATAAGTTTAAAAAAATGCGTAGGTGCAACGTGACGTAAAGTGAAAATACTTTATTTGCCACAATAGAACCTCAATTTGATTTGGCCTCATTAATGCGAGCTAATATGAGCCGTCAGTTAAACATTTATGAAAAGTCGAAAAATACGTATGCACTCCATTAAATTTGATTAAAATGAAATTCCAAAGTCTGTGTAAACAAAATTGTAGGATATAAAACCGAAATTTACTGATAGTTTCAGGCGTTTAAAGAGGAGCATTTAAACAAATTTGCCAATATACTAGGCGATAATGTGTGGAAACAACATGGGACGCGGAGGCTGCAACAACGCTCCCCACTAAAGTCGAGTTAGCCATGAATTTACGTAGTCTGGGACATGCACGCCGCCCAACCTCCCACGGCGATCCAGTTTCCCACATCGCCCACGCTACCCACGCCGTCCCAGCCGCAGCTTCCCACCGAGGCTCAGCAAAAAGGAACAAAACCTGTTTCCACATAACACTCTTTAAACTAGAATTTAAACCGATTGGCCGATTTATTTTTAAAAATGTTTGCAGTACTTCGATTTAACCCTTATAGTTGGGTACATTCTTTGTTCATGTCTTGTTATTATTTTTGTTTATAGAATACTAACTTTACCAAAACTTATGAAATTGCATGCATAATGTAGGACATGTGATTGTTTAACGCAAGATCAGATTTTACCCATAATTGCTAATGTTAGCTATAAGATTTAAATACATAAATATTCCATGCAAAGCTCTACAAAAGTGAGCCAAATAAAGTCTAATACTTTACTCCTTTCGAGCTCTGACTAAATAATTCTGTTTAGTTCCTTTATAAAAATGTGACTTAAAAAGTAAGGCACGTCATAATCTAATAACACAATAACCAGATGGATACTCGATGCAGGCAGATTTAGATGCAGTTACAAAGGCAACCGAGCCCGCCATTACGCGGCCGGGGCGACCGACTGCGCAAAAAGCGGACCAAATTCTATTACCGTCCGATATGCAACAAAGACCGCTGGCCCGCCCGTTTCAAATTGCTTTAGGCTACAGTCGCGATATTTACTCCCGCATACCACAATATTCGAACAAATAGAATTCAATTTTATACTCTCTTTTCAATATTGTTAAAAACTTCAAAAGTTAGTTATGTCATTGTTTATATCCAACAAACAATAAATTAAAATTTAAAAACAAAATAAAACGCATTTTATTTTTCAACCTTAATTTTTTCTAAATAAACCACGCTTCAAACCACGCTAATTGTTTGTTGAATGCAACCAAATCACGTTTTCCAGTTGCAAGTCTACTTCAGCATGTATAAAATATTTTTAAGGCTTGCCGGTTCCGTTTATTCCGCTTCAAATAGGACACAACTGGCCGGCTTGCGATATTAGTGACAAACAGGCGTAGCGCTGTAGCACTGTAGCGCTGTAGCACTGTGTAGGCCATAAATTGCGGCCGCTACAAATTAAATTAGGTAATACACGGCGTGACGAGCTGGGACAAGCGGTGGGGTAACACTCGACATGGAATGGGAGTGTCCTATACGCTCGGACCGACCTGCAAGCTTCCGCTAACTTTTTATTGTCATTTAAATTGCCCCAGTTCTTATTTATATTTTTGCGAGGCCTGGCATTATTTACAATGTTGTGACAGTAACCCGAATTTTAAACCACAGGACAATTAAGGAGGTTAGTGCAAGTTCTAAGTACCTACTATAGAAGAATATGTATTATTTTGTATGTGAAGAGTAGGAGGAGTATAATATTCGTATTTGTTTAATCGTAAGTTAATAGTGTTTGTTAGTACTACGGAAAGTCTACTTTAATTCTTTATAATATTTCCTTAACCAACATCCGATTAGAAATCTATTGGGTTTCAGATCTTAGTACATACGTTTGGTCAGGTTACACAGAACGCTCGTTATTTTGACATTGCGCTTCCGAATTCCACCGGAAACGGGAAATCGGCTAATGAGAGTGTTCGTGCGGACGCTCACGGCATAATAATTTCTTAAGTACACGATTGCGCTCGGAAACTTCATCGTGATTAGAATGAAACAGTAAGTTCATAATAATAATAAGGTTTAAAATTATAAATAGACAGAGAACTAGAAATTTACAAAATCAACTCTATTTTATATGAAGAAGAAGGCAAATGAAACAGTAATAGATTAATGAAGTTATTATGCAATAAACAAAAGCGGGTGTCGTTGGCAGGCGGGCGGCGTCAGATGTCGCTTGCAGCGCGGCCGCCGCAGATTTGTGGTCAATTCACACGACGTTCGCCCACTCGGCCACTAGCCACTTGCCCACTTTCCCACTCGCCCACTCACCCACTCGGCCATCGTCTCTGCCTTCAGATATTACTAAACTGTGAACGTCAACTCCTCTGACAAATATTGCGACTGTTATTGCTACAACTTATGTTATTAAATTTGTGATACTTGGTTTTTTACTCGAATTTACGAAAAAATACGTTTTGATTGCATTTTCGCGAATAGTGAAGATTTGTCTTTACATTTTGAGGTGGAGAAATTCTGCAACGAATAAATCACTATGAAAATCGTGAATTAATTATATACCACAATAGTGTTTTTTTCTTTCCATTAAAAGATGTAAAGAAACTGTGTAAAACTCATTTTTTTACCGCATAATTAATAAAACTTTAATAATCATAAAATCACATAACTTAAAATAATATAATCCAGGCCAACGTTTGCCAACAAGAGGTCGTTCAATAAACGAAAAATGTTCAAATAAAAACCGCTTTAATATAAGCTATTGTTGGGAAAAAAGAAAAATAAAACTCTGGCACAAAATAAGCGGCACTAAAGGAATGCAGGCAATTTTTAATGTGGAGTGAGTGGAAAGCAACGTGACCCTCGACCGCGGTAATAATGTAGCCAGCGGAGAAAATTCAACAGAATCCGTGAAGCACGATTCTTTCCTGAGAGTTGTGGCGTGTTTATAAAAAAATACGTACCTCTTGTGATCTCATCACCCGCATACGCGTACAAAAGTAAATATTAAGGTAATAAACGAGATGAAAATACAAACACAACATAGATATTTAAGTATAATTAATATTACAGTTACTGATTACAGGAAGCTGTTTTATTCAATAAGTCGATCCAAATAATAAAATATAAATACAATTAAAATATGTAGGAATATTTAAATTTAAAACTTGTAGCAATGTATTGTTCAGCTAACATGTCGAAACAACATATTTCAACGCGATACCGGTCGGACAATGGTCGGAAGTGGCCGAATATAAATGATCGGAAAGAGCAGAAGCTATCGAATAAAGGGCTATGTTGTTATAAGCGAACTGCCGGATATAACTTACGATAGCTTAAGTTGCATTACGTGTATACTAAAGATCTAAAGTATTTTTAGCAATAATTTATATTAAAACTTATGCGAAGATAAATAAGGAAACACAGAACAAACTAGTTGTACGTTAGTGTACTAACTCCTGATCGCATGTAAATACCAAATATGTATTATAATGATAATTCATCAATAAATGAAAACTTTCACTGAACGGCCACTAGCGCTAATGAATGCAAATTGGTGTTGTAAATAGTAATTAATTGGTATTGAACGTTGAATACGATAACAGCGTAATTGTTGCAGGTGAGATGATAATATCGAACGATAAGTACCATATGACGGAGATCCCGAGCTCGTCGTACAGTGTGCAGATGCGACTCGTCATCAGGAACATACAGCGTAGCGACCTCGGCGGGTACAAGTGTATCTCAAAGAATTCTATTGGCGACGCTGAAGGGAACATCAGATTATACGGTGAGTAAATAGCTGATACAAGACTCTTAGATTCTTAGATAGGCAAGTTAAGATGGATGTTTTAACTAAGTGATCACTACTTAAGGAAAGAAAACTTTCCTTAGATCAAAGTATCCAACACATTGTATGATAATGATTACAATAAATTTCAAATGTGCAATTTAATTAACTACTTTTTTGTAAAGTCCACTCAACTATTTTCCCTCTGAACGATTCTCTCTTATATTATAGTAGAAAATTTATAACACTAACATTCTTGTGTATCAATATAAAATCAAAAATCATACACAGAAATGGAGCTGCCGTATCGAAAATCGAGAAACGAGGAAGAGAACGATACGGCATCTGAGGAGAGCAACGACGTACGATCAAGTCTGCAGGGACCACTGCGAGAAGGCGGGAACCGCGTAGAAGACGCGGGCTTTCTAGGCGGCGGGGGACCCCCGGCGAGCACTGCGCGGCGCGCACTGCCTACTGCATTTTATTTTATAACTACCCTCATGTATACAGTGTGTTAAAAATAACTTTTAAAGCCATGTGCAAGGTTAAGACTTCAGTATTACATTTTCTGTAATTGCTTTTTCAAGTTTTTACCTTTTGCTTTATTTCATTCTGATAATATAAATCTAATATAAAATAATTATTTTTTATGTTTTCGTTTGGTAATATAGATGAAAGCATGAACTTCTGTTATTTGGTGTAATTTTTTATTGCACTTTTTCATAAATCTTGTTTTAAAATGTAAACCGGCAGAAGTAGAAAAAAATAACCAAAATCGTATGTAAGTAAATATGACGCCGCAAGTCTTAACAGGGTACGTGGTTTAACCAAGCAAGTGGAAGTGTTATTATTGTGCTTAATTGTGAAACAGTTTATTGACAAGTTATGTAATAAATTGTGTACAAAATTAAATAAGTAATCCCATGCGTTTGACCTGGAAAAGTTTATTTTAAACAGCTTTAAATGTCCGGTAACGCGTCGAAAGAATTGTTAGATATTTTAGCATTGCTGAAATGTTATTGAAACTTATGTACCCAGAATGTCATTATGCCTGAAAATGTATTAAGCAAGAGACGATCTGTATCTGCTTTAATATATACGTGCGATGTACTACAATATGTAAATAATGTAGAAATAACTCGTTAATATTAATTTGCGTATTAACCATTAATCGTGAAGTTATTTGAAATATTTTGGAAAAATGAAATCGCTATCATTGTTTTTTTGTTATACATAGCGCTACTATAATCATATTGTAATTGTTAATGTTAATATTGTTGAATTTATAAACAATAATTTGTAAATTATATGCGAAGTATATACGTAGGAGATACATTTTATCTGAATATTTATAGTGAATTGTACGAAATCGTCTTATTTGAATGTATTTTTTAGTTGATAATTATTATACGTAACTTGTATTCCCCCATCATAACATATTGGCCAACAACAAATGTATATTATTGCCTGCGAAACCAAAATAAACTACATATACATAAAATTGTGTTTTATTCTTAACTAAAGACCAAGAATTTAGTGAACAATATACAGGAATAAATTGAATATTTAAAGTCGTCAAGCTTCTAACAAGTGTAAGCATATTTTAGCCCACGTTCCTATTTACTTTTATAGTGTCTATTAAATCTATATAATTTCGTTTGTCGACCAACAATATATGTACATACATATTGGATATATGTAAACTAGTACCATCTCATTTTATATCTTTTTTATTTATACTTAAACACACAATATTTACACAATTATAAGAGCATACAAATACGTTGTAACTTCCTTCGTGACACATCTTGCATTCCTTTGTTTCGAGACTAAAATCTTTACTTTTTTTAAAAACTTTTTAATTTGTCTTATCTTGATTTATTGTCGGTGGCCAGTGTTAACATAAACAACATCATAAATCATTACTTCAATATATGTATCTATACTATTATAAAAAAGCGTAAACACACACTTCTTTGTGGCGTAAGATGTCAGCAATTACAGTATATTTTTGAATAATTCTTTTTTTAATAAACACCCCTACACTTACGTTACGCTTTAGGCTATATATTTTCACGCTATTAAACTTAGGGTGTAAATAAATTGGATAAAAACCTTAATGTAGGAAAGATACCATAAGCTTCTGTCAATATCAAAAAAGCAAGATTGCTAAGGTTTGTCATGTCATGTTATTTTGACTTTTGCTATTGATAATTTGACACATGTAAATAATAAAATATAATTTCATGCGGATGAAGCCGCACGAGAACAACTAGTTAATTATACAAATCACATTCTTGTGAAGTACAACACTAATTTTAATTAATGTTCTTTTGCGTTTTAAGAAATATAATTATAATACAAATGGTACGTCTAAGCGTATAGCGCCATCTATTGGTTGTTATAGACTGACCACACATTAACACATTTACTGTAGGCACCTATATTCTAGTTAACATCGTGGACAAGACTAAGGAGAAACTATTCATTATTGAATTATCTCAAGTCAAAATTCAAGAGACCAACTTTTTCATTAAAAGTAATTGTATAATAGCAAGGATAATTAAACGCTCTTACTGAATATGAATTCGTGGTAACCCTAACAATCTTCCCTGTGGACCCTCTTAATTGCTACCTTCGGGTGCGGAGCGAAGTGTAAGAGCGATCTAGATAGGACGTAACCACGTGCATTAGCAAAATTACCTGACGCTCTATTATTTTCATTGTGACAAACCGGGCTAAGAGTTTCCGGTACGAAGGGAAATTAGGTTTAAATTAAAGTAGAAAATCTATTAAATGTGACCTTGACGTGTAGAAAATAAATTGTATTTACAAAATACTACAATAGGATTACTTTAGATCTTAAGTATACCGAGTATTAGTAATTGCTAATAATATTTCGATCTGAGCATCCTTGGAAACCTATTTGTGTTTTCATGTGTTCTCGAATAATGAGAAATTAAGTTTCGTTCCATGTTATCAGCGTTACGGTTGCATAAAAAGCCGATGGCGCGGTAAGCCCATTGTAATCTCATTATTTATGTACTGTTTAACGTCCCGCTCGGCAACGCACCGAATTAACAACTATCAATAAAACGGAATTACCTCGACCACGGAAAACATCCAATTCTCGTAACGTTCTACATCTACGTACATTGTTAAACGATGTATGGAAACAAAAATACCAAATGGAATTTAAAAAACATAGAATGGTGTCGTATCTTACCTTTAATATAAAATAACTAGCTGTTCCCATGCGACTTCATCCGCATAAAATTATAAAAAATTCATTTCATTGTTCACATTTGTCAAATTATCATTTGCAAAAGTCAAAATGATATAACATGATGTCAAACCATGGCAACTTTGCTTCCTTGATGTTGGCAATAACTATGGTCTCTTTTCCACATTAAGGTTTTTATCCAAAATATTTAACCCTAAGTTTAACGGCGTGAAAATATGTAGCCTAAAGCGCGACGTAAGTGTAGGGCTTTTCATTAAAAAAAAGAGTTATTCGAAAATATGCTGTAATTGCTGACATCTTAGGCAACAAAGAAGTGTGTGTTTACACTTTATTATAATATATAGTAATATAGTATAGATAACAATAATTTACACCATGAGAAAACTTGTAACTTTTTATAAGTTACTCTTTACGTATTCTATAAGAATAAACATGTAACTTTACATATTTACATTGAAGGAATCCCAATTGTCAGTGGATTACATTTTAAACAAGGCTGGTTGTGTCAAAGGGGCAGATAAGGATATTCAAACATCATCGCTGTGAGAGAAACGATAACTCAATATGTGTTGTACCATTGCGAGTCCCCGGCGTGGCGTGTTGCAGTTTTGACGTCACACTTCGCATCTCAAGTGCATTTCGTAACGCTACAAGCATCGAACTAACTGCACACACTTGTGTAAAGTACCGAGTCTACTATAAACATATAATTTAAAAGCTATTTTATGTCAAATGAAATGCTACAATTTATAAAAAATATTAATGAAAGTCTTTATCAGATTACTATCTGAATTCTGAAACGAATCACAAACGCTGCTTTGTAAGCGCCGCTTACAACCTGATAGAAGTTCTTTTTTATGAAATTTGGAGTTTATGCGCTACATACGACGTTGCATATTTAAATCCATGTTGCAAATTTCAAAACTTTAGTTTTATTCTTCCTAGTTTCTTGCAAATTATGTTACTCAAAGTCGGACGTTTAAATCAATATTTCCTTTGAGATATTTGAATTCGTACTAGGACGATAAATTCATGTGGGCATTTCATACGTACATAATCGAGATATATTTGTTTGCAAGCATGTTATATCGGTGGGAATACCCTCGGCGCGGGACGTCCGGTTACAATCTGCATAACAATTGTGTCCCGTAGATTTCCCGCACTCCAGATGGATGCTAATGCCCTACCCATTCATAATTCATGTCTTAATGAAGTGGATGAATATATTGAACATATATAACACATTTGAACAACGTTTCTAATATTTAATTACAGGTTATTTTGGTTTTATTAATGTAGTTTTCTTAAAAGTTAACTGTTAAATTCTTGTGCAGAAATTTGGAATATAAGAATAAATTTATTGAAACCTTCTTTAAATATCTTTCGGCACTTTTGTACTCCAGTAATATTGTTAACCAACATATTTTAAACCATAATACCGTTGTAGGCTTAGCTATTACACGTGTGATATTAAATTCGTATTGAAATGTGCCACCGATATATTTTCTTTTAGTATTTTGCGAGTATTCAAATAATATTCAAGATAAAAAGTGGTTTATTGTGTTCGTAAATAAAACCGTTCACTTTCCTCCCGCACGTATTGTGTGGGTCCATTGTGACTGAGCACAGGTGCGGTCGTCCTTACCGATTCCCCTTTCGAACCCTCCTATGAATGTCAAAAATACATTTATTTAAGCATCCATATTTTATTGACACGTTTATTTAAGTAGCATCTACGTTTATAGGATTTCTTTGGAAGTTTATAGTACCTGGATACATTATAAGTTAATTCAATGTGTAAAGTTTAAATGATGGAATGTAATTGATAATTTTACTGGCTGGAAATTATACTTGTTATCTATTTAGGCAACGATGGAAGGAACATTGGTACTGTTCCGAACATTTTCTGATACAAGGTTGAACTTAGTAGTATTCGATTAATAAATAGCTTATATTTTTTGCAACCACAACAGAAACAAAAGTCAATTAATATATACTGCAAATTCATTTGATGATTGCCGAACAACGGACGAGCTATGGGACCAGCAATACCTAGAATTGATTTTTGCGAGTGCAATCGGCCCCCGGTCCCCTGCGGCCGGGATGCCGCGCACTTTAATGACTGATCAATTAGGTATCTGATCCAAGTTTAAAAGCATGATTATCGACATTACAGCCTACAGACCGCAGCGTGCATTTTATGTAATTAACCAGAAATTAACGAGAAATTGTGTACACTTTGGCTGCGCGTTGCACTATAAAATCGTTCGTGTGTACGTAACAAGGGAACAAAATTCTATCTCGTATTTTTTTATTGAACGATCCATTTTTGTTATTGAACAGCCGGATTAGGAATAACGTTAAAGGAAAAGTGTGAGTCGAAAAAGGTTATTGTGACAAACATTGAGGAATACATAAATATATTCTAATCTGTTTTTCTATATGTAAGGAAAGTAAGAAGAGGATTTATCTTATAAATGTTATTATAAAATCTGGGGTCTCGCTAACAAGAAATACATGTCCTATTCATCAAAGTAAATAAGAAATGTAGGTATTTGATTGAATCGATAAAAAACCGTTCATATTTCTTTTTGATGGTCGAGTTTATTTGCCGCCGACCAAGAGCGCAGTATTCGTATGACGAACGAAACAGACGGCGGCACTCGTGATTTCACTTGGAAAAAAATCCATGCACTTAACGGAGAAATAAGCGCGGCTTTCGACCGCATTCACTTTTAGCGATGTAGTTTTTCTCGTTTTACACCCTCCACACCCATTCTCCCATCTAATGCTAGGGTCACACGAAGGCCAAATAGGAGGCAGAACAGTAGAATAAATCAGTACTGCTATGATTTTCAAGCGCACTCTGAGACACAAGCATTCTGACAGTAAAAGCGTGCACACACCTGGAACTAAACTATGGTACAACTGTTTAGTCTCACTTCGTTTCCTA